CCCCCATCCCCCCCCCAAAAAGCAGAGCAGCAAGAAAATACTTAACTTGCTTTAACAATAAATGTATACTTCATAATGTAGAAGAAGCAACAAGGGAAATAACAGAAATGTCTCCATTTTTAAAAAAAAGTTAATTGGAAGAAGTGAACATTCACTGCATTTTATAATTGACAGAAGAACAGCAGGCAGGAGAGCAGATTTTAAAAGGTTCTAGAAATAGAGCCATAGCAGTACACAGGCCTAAAATGTATTTTTTTAAAATCTTATTTTAATTAGCACTTTTTGCTTTTACATTTATTTCTAAATGTATTTCTCCCCTCCTTCCCTACCCTCCAATATAAGGGGAAAAAAATCATTCATCAAAACTAACCAAAACTTCAACTATGTTGGACAACACATGAAATATTTCATACCTGGAGTTCCCCACCTCTGCAATGGAGGGAGGTGAAATGTGTTGTTCTTATTTGTATTTTGCTTAGTCAATAGTGTTTAAGTGCCTACTATTTACTAAGCACTTGGAAGAGAAGAGCAAAAAATAGTTCTCAAGCAGCTCACTGAATGGGGGACACAACAGTATAGTTGCAAACTACTATGCCCAAATAATAGCTACACATGCTAAATTGGAAATAATCTTACAGGGAGGTCTCTAAGATTATGGAAGTCTGGGAAAGGCTTGTTGTAGAAAATTTGACTTTGGCTGAGACTTAAGTGCCAGAGACAGGGACGGAGAGAATTGTAGGCATGGGTACCAACTGCCTGAGGAGATGGAGGGTCTTGTAGCAAGAGAGCCAGCATCACTTGATTGCACAGGTGGGGGAAAAATATGTAAGAGTACTGGAAAGGTAAGGGGCCAGATTATACGGGGCTTTGAATGACAAACAGAGGATATTACATTTGATCCTGGAGGCGATACAAGGCCACTAGAGTTTATTAAATACGGGGGAGGGTGACCTGATCAGGCCTAAACTTTAGGAAGAGGAGGTTGAGTGCAGGATAGACTAGAATGGGAAAAGGCTTGATGCAGCAAAACCAACTTGCAGGTATTGCAATAGTCCAGGGGTAAGGGGATGAGGGCCTGCACCAGCATGATGGCAGTGTCAGAGGAGAGAGGGGGGAATATATAAGATGTTACAAAAGTAGAAATTGCAGCACTTGACAATTTGTGTCTTTTGCCCACTTAACAATGGACCAAAAAGTGTAACTATCTCTGTTTAGGATGAAGAAGAAGATAACAGAGAAGGTAGAATGACTGCGCTCTTTTTTTTTCTTGCAAAAGCAGTTATGTAGCCAGGGAAGGATAGAAGAAAAAATGTACCCACTGATCTCAATTAGTTCAAATCACCAGATTCTGATAAACTACACACTACCTGCTGGATGTTGATTGCTGAGCTGATATCAGTCATCTTCAGAAGACGTGAGGACATAGCAGTTGATGTAGAAGACTAAATGTCTCAATTTTCCAAGCCAACATTAGAAATGTTTGGTCTCCCTTTTAAGTATGTATGAGACAAGGGGGCCTCTAAAATCCCTTTTAACTCTGAGACTCTAATTCTTTGAAAACAGAACTAAACTTTTCACATGTAAAATTTTACCTGAATGTGCCTAAATAAATGAAAGAACTAAGCATAAAACACAAATGATACAGCATAGTTCTAACTGGTAAATAGTTTCACTTGCAGAGTATCTTTAAGTATCTAAGCATTTTGTCTTTGCTTATTGCAACACTGGTTTGCCAGAATCATTCCACCTCAATTTCAGCATTTATTTAGAGCCCAGTAGTAAGTCACCGTGCTACGTGCTTGTGGGGAACACAAAGGAGGGGAAGATTCATTTTGTATTTTCGTGGAACTCGTAACCCTAGGAGATAAGATGTGTGGGCTGTGTGTTACTATAATATCATGTAAAACACTGTGAGTGCCTAAGAAAGGTACAAGCAACATTATGCACCAGAATACCGAGGACAGGAAGAGAATCTAAGCTAGAGAGATCAAAGGAGTTCATTCTGAGAGTAGAATTGGAATTTAGACCTCAGACAGGCTTTCCACAAATTATGTTGAGATTAAATCGATTCTGTATAAGTTTTTATTGATCCTATTTGCAATTAACTAATTTTGTCCTGTAACTGCTTAAATCACAGTCCTTTATCTCTGAGCTTAATTCAGAAAATCAGCTGGCCTATAATGAATTAAGTTTAGAAATCCAGTTCTCTTGCGGATGACCACTCCATTCTTGCCTCAAGGATATCTGCTATCCTTGATGGAAGTGAAAGGACACCAGGGAGTCCAGCATCTTTACACCACCAAGCTATCCTTCAAAGATATCTGGTTTGCTATCCAAAGAAATTTGCTCACTATCTCTAACCTTGCAAGTGGACTCAAACAATGGACTTTTCTTAGTCATGGGGGGGGGGGTGATTGCTAGATCCTCATTCCCAGTTTCAAACCAATCACATTGTCCCTCATGCTTCAACTCTGTAACCAGTCATGTTGTCCTATGATGCTGCCAACCCTATAACCAATTATATTCTTTCCCCACCTAGGAAATCCTGTTCTTTGTTCCATACTCCCCCAAAATTACAAAAGGGGAGCTATCCTTTCACTTGGGGTCTTTTGGCTCACTGAGGCAGTCAGCAGAACCATTTTATTATCAGGTCCACACCCTGCTAATAAACTGTTATCTTGCTCAGAGAACGTGTGCCTCAGTCTACTTTTGTTGAATTTCATTCAAGATAACAGGGTGGAGATGATAGTATAAGTATAAAGAGTAAATCAAAGCAGAGTGAGGGACACCTTGGTAAACAGTTTAGTTTGGCTAGAGTATGACTTTTGTAAATGGGAGTTTGAACATTATTCTGTGAATAATAACTGGAAGCCCTGGATTCTGAGTAGGAAAATGCCTCGAGCAACATTGCTCTGGTAGCTTTAAGAAGGATGGACAGGGAAAAAGTCTTTTGTAAAAGTCTCATTGAGAAGCATTAGTAAGTAGCAAAGCAGGAGTGGAAAAGATTATTTATGTGAGACACTCTGGAAAAAGACTGATAATAAATGTTTATTGATAGCCTAGCAAGTATCAGAATTTATTGGGGGGAAGGTAATGAGCCTATGAAGACAAAAAATGTATTCTGCTCAGGAAAACACGTTATTATTGATAGGTTAATTCCAAAGTTAACTTGTGTGATGTCAATAATATACAGGCATTAGGATGAATTGTTTTATTGGTTAAAAAAAGAGGGGCATTTAGGTGAAATCCAGTAGGCTGTGGGTCTGGAAAGGAAAAGAGCGATCAGAGCTAGAGAAAAAGAGTTGAGTCATTTTTTTTTCTTTACTTATCCTTAATCTCTAAATGGGCGTTGCCTGAGAGATGCACCTCAAAGAACAGATGTATAATTATTTATAGCAAAACTCTGAAATAAAATCTCACTAAAGCAAAGGTTAACCTAGGGTCTGTAGACTTGTTTTCAAAAATATTTTTTGCATTTGCAAACGTGATTCCGAGGAGCCCACAGGTTTATCACATAACCCAAAAAAGGTCCAGGACACAAGAATTTCCTGCACAACAGAGACTGAAGAGCTCAATAAACAGGTTTTGGAAATAGCTGGTGACAAACATTAAATTCAATCCAATTTTTGGTTCAGAACCTCACTGATTCTTAACAGCTCTGCATTCACAAAACTCATACATGTCATTTACCAAAGCACCCCATTTAAAATCCACCGTTAACGATGCATCATTTTGTTCCAGACTCATGTTTATTCAGAATTTTAACAAAAAAATTATTCTCCTAGGTAATTTCGTATTTCTGGCACCATAGCTCGTCATTTCCCACCTCTCCCTACCCACTTTCATCCTAAATGTAATTTTCAGTTACAGATAAAACAGTGGGCTTTTCTCCTTAACCTTAGGCCCTGATTACTCACTCCTTTTGTGTGTGTGTGTGTGTGTGTGTGTGTGTGTGTGTGTGTGTTTTAACTGAGAGAGGTAGGATGGTAAACATAACAATGATTATACAATTGATACCAACAGAATTTTTTTGAGGAAAAAAAACAGCCTTTTTAATGTGCATTAGTGGTTTTTCATGTACATGCTGCTTGATTAATATATCAAGGGGAAAATGCATGATCACAGTTCATTATGACAGCTTACATTTTAAACAGATTCACCCCCCTACTATGTCATCAAACAACTGACTTTTCCAAGAGGAAGGTGAAGGCCAGAGAATAAAGGCTACAGACACAATGGAAGAAGTCAAGAGGGTTACCAATGGGGGAGGGGGGATGTACCCACGTGCATGAACATAATTTGTCATTCATTAGTTGGCAGTGAGTTACTTAAGACAAAGAAGTATCCAAACATCACAAAGGACCCCTTTTAGTCCTTCTTAAAACTTTGAGAAACAACAGCCCTCCTAAAAGGAGTGAGTGCCAACAAGGTCTTCCAAACAGCAATCCCCAAAAGAAGATTCCTCCCACTCGCTGCCTCCAGGAACCAGAGGGTTAATTCTAGGCTGAGAACTGGGGAGGAGGGACAGGCTTCATTTTATGAGTAGATATAATCTATTCCTTGATCAATGTCAGTTTTTTCTGGACATTTCCCCTTCTTACCATTATTATCTATACCAGAACAGTTATTAGAAGCATTCAAATTATGACCATTGGGCTTCTTGATTTTCTGAAAAGGAAACTGATTTGAAAAAAGTGCCACAATGGGTAATTCTATTAGAGATAATATCCTAGTAGACAGAAGCCAAAAACCTCCTTGGAGCCAAGCATTAACATTGATTGCTTGGGTCTAAATAAGTAGTCTGCTGAAGGGCTTATTTTAAAGGCTTCTGAGCATCAAAGATTGATGTGTATAAACACAAATAGATGCAGAAAACTGTAAAGATTATACAGTAATTATAGCAGCTGTTTTTGTTATATAAAGAACAAAGTAGTGATAAAGCATCAAGAAGAGAAACTAAACTTTAAAAATAATTTGAATGAAAAGGCACACCCTACAGAAAAGTGTACAGAAGGATAGTTTACTTTTTGGATGTCAGGAGGTAGAGGGGTGGGAAATGGACACTTTAAAGTTCTCTTTGCAAATGAAGTTGGTTTCTGTCAGGCAAAGTGGACAATGAAAAGTGGCTTCTTTATATCCTGGTTTAAGTCAGTCTCTTCTTTTACTGGCTTTTTAAAAAACGTGATTAGTTCTCTGACATGTAGAATCGATACATCAAGGCCACAACAACTGCAGAGATTGCTGGGATCACCCAACTGGTCCACCAACTAGAAGGAAACAGTGAGAAAATGTTTCACATATATTGCACGATGTCAGATACATGTAAATAAAAATGATTTGTTCCAGCTAACAATAATTCACCAGGAAATCTTTTTCTCTCTGTCTGAGCCTAAGACACCAGCTGCAAAAAAGAGTACATGTAATACTGGGACCAGTATTAATGCTCTACCCCATCCCAAAAAAAGTTACACTCCACTAGCCTGATAAGTCACCAATGACATTACTGGCATCTTCAGAAAGAAAATTTATATACACTTTATAATAAAGGTTTGTCAATGCTACTTATGCACTGCTTTGCTACATTTTAAAAATAAAACTCTTAGGTAATGACAGATTATGAACCCTGGGCAAAACACTATACTATAGCAACAGTGAATGGTCATTAAATCTTCCACATGGCCTGAACATGGACACAGGGAAAAGAGCACTTGACTAGAGTTAGGAGGCTCAAGTAGTAAATTCCAGTTAAAAATTAACTGTTAAATTTAACTGTGAGTTTAAAATAAACTAACTAGCTGTATTAAGCTAACTTTACTTGGGGCAAGGATCACTTCTCTGGCCCTCTGGCCTTCAGTTTCTTCAAATGAAAAATAAAAGTAAGTGGGTTGGTCTGGATGGATTCTACCATCAGAGCTTCTCTCTTTGAGGTAACCAATAAATTCTAGCTGTTAAATTGCTGTTTTCTCAAGTCCTTATCTTATATGGACTCTCTATAGCTTCTGATCCTGCTGACAACTGCCCCTCCTCCCCTTCTGCTTTCATAACCCTGCTTCCTACTGGTTCTCCTACTTATCCATCCATACTTCCTCAGACTCCTTTCTTTGACCATTATCTTAGATCACTTTCTCCTGGTCCCTAGCCATGAGTATCTCTCATGCTACTGTCCTGGACCCTATTTTCTCACTACACATTCTTTCAGTGAATTCCCATGTGTTCAATCAACATTTCTATGCAGATAGCTCCAAAATCTATATAGTCAACCATAATCTCTCTCTTGAGTACCTGCCTTATATTGCCAACTGCTTGCTGGACTTTTCCACGGAGATGTCCTGAAGGCATCACAAAGTCAACATGCCCAAAACAGACTTTGTTATCTTCCCTCATCTAAACTTAATTTCCTCCAAACTTCTATCCTCTCAGTCACCCAGATGTGAAATCTTGGGAGTTATCCTTTGACCCTTCATTCTCCTTCACCCCCTGTAAGCTCACTAGCTGCCAAGTCTTGACAATTCTGTGTCCACTTCTCTCACAACTGGCCCTTTCTCTCCATCCCAGTTACCATCCTAGTTCAGGTCCTTATCACCTCTCACCTGTACTACTACAAGAGACTGCTTAAGAATATCTTATTCTCTCCAGGATATTCTCAGCTTGGCATTTGGCTCCAGCTTATCTTTTAAGGCTTACTGCATACTATTCCCTTCATGGACTCTACATGTTGCAGTTAAACTTACCTACTTGCTGCCCTCTGCCACCACTCTTTCCCAGCTGGCTCCCTGCGATTGCATAAGCCTTGAGTTCATTTTCTACTCACTTCTACCTCATCTAAAAATACTTAGCTCCCTTCAAGGCTCAGGCCATGTGCCACTCCATATAAACAGTAGTCTCTCCCTCTTCAAATTATCTCATTTGGATACTTATTTATATACTGTATCCCACCTCACCAAATTGCAGTTCCTTGAAAGCAGGGAGTTCTCTCTCTCTCTCTCTCTCTCTCTCTCTCTCTCTCTCTCTCTCTCTCTCTCTCTCTCTCTCTCTCTCTCTCTCTTTTTTACTTTCTTTCCCTGACTCCCAAACCAATCCCATGCACATATTAAGTACTTATAAAGTACTTCTCCAATTTAAACACTCCATGATCTATAAATTATACATTTACAACATCTGTTCAGTAGAGACAGTTTTATAAATTTTCTGAGTATGTATCTTCCCTTGGACATACTGCCTGGGTAACACTATGTCCAGACCATCTCTCTAGCCTGCGTAGGTAAAACACATAAAGATCCCAAAACTATGTAGCGCTTAGTTTCAAATTTAGACTAAGTAACACAGGATCACAGATAAATGAATGCTAGACCTGGGATATGTGAGAATCACATATTTAATGTGATTTTGTGCCTAAGTCACTCTTGCTGAGGCAAATAAGAACTTGAATGTAGATTTTTTTAAAAAATCTAATAAAAGTTCATATATGCATATATTTTCATGTCAAAGAAAATCACATACAACAACATTCTTTACACATCATCTCACCCCTAAAATAAAGCTTGACAATCACACGATAATAATCAAGAGGATTACTGGTATACTTTTCCTTTGGGTGGAGTTTACTGGGATTTCTTTAGTTGCTTATTTAGTTAGATGCTCATGTTAGGAGCAGTATTGCTTAAAAAGCAGGGATATGGACTACAAAATCTCTTAAACCCCTTTCCAGGCCAAAGATAGATTCTGAAAGAAAATTTATTTCATACCTGCTGTTGTTATCAATGGTAGTAATAAGAGTATCCTGGAAAACAAAGATAAAAGCACAGTTAAAAAGAAAATCAAAACATTATGCAATCCTTAGTATTTTTAAAAAAAACTTTTTTTATGAAGCAAGAACATTTTACTCAGTTCTTCAAGAGATCAATAAGATAAACATAAAATTTCAGCAATAACTTCTTTTCATACAAAAATATTACATCCCTATTCACTTTTAATTATCATGCCCTATTTTCCCAGAGAAAAATAGGCTACATGTTATTTGTGGACAATTATTTAATGTCATTTACACTTACCTATGCTTATATTAAACAATTTGAAAGAAAACATGAAAAATATTCTGAATTAAAATAATTTCTTCAACTACCCATGGACAATGACTTTTGCAATGATCATAAGTACAAACAAGTATATTCCCCGTAAGTACAAGCAAAGTGTTTGATAAACACCTTTCAACTGGCAAAATAATGGTAAAGGCTGCAATCTTAAGAAAATAGTGTACTCAAATTTCATCAAGTCACTCCAACCTGGAAAAGTGATTAGAACTTACATTTTTTTCGAACCTCTATCACTCTAAGACTTACCTTTATGTTTAGCCATAAGAGTCAAATATTAGCTGGTTATATAAAATGGATTATTTTGCAACCCATTTTCTTTCTATAATGCCCCAATAAGAATATTCCAAAGAGAATCTTCAAATCAGTGTGATGTAGATATTATAATCTGTTACCACAGTGACCTGTTTTGCCTCTGGGACTCTGAAGGCTCCAAATGTTAAAAATTAGTGAAAGGAGTTCATAATCGTCACAGAGAAGATAAAACACAGATAATACTACTACAAGTTTAAGCATAAATCACTCCAACAATTAGCAATTGGCTAAATAGCAGCTGTCAGCTCACACAAACACAAGTATTAGTAGTGCCTTCAAGGAGGAACCAAGATAAAGCAAAGCTTCAATGACTTCAATATCCGTTTTCTCTGCAAAGCCACAACCTAGAGCACAGGACACTGGCTTAAAAATCAACTGTTAGACAGTAACAAAGCCACACTGCAGTAGAAGTAAGAGAGTCCTTTTTCAAAGGAAAAGTAAAAAGAAACCTTTCCACGAGGAGCAAGCCAAGCAATTTAGTCCCACCAACCTTTACGAGCTCCTTTAAGATTCCTGACACAGTGAAAAGAAATAAGGCAATTTTAAAGAAAGCTTCACATTAAGACCTTGATCAATGGTATCACATAACTGTATTTGAAAAAAAGTTATTAAAAAAGTTAATACAAACAGTAGAAACTTCCAAGGTTGATGCGCCTAGACTTAGATACCTCCAACCTTAATAAAGCTATTGTTTGTATTGTATGGGAATGGAGGTAAGAGGCAGAAGGGAAGACAAGTTGATGACTTATTTCAACTTGGTTGGTTGCTCTCTTCTACCTCTATCCCCAAGGGCTCCACATTCTTCAACCCTGGTCTTGGTCACTATGAAATTTGAAATTGCTGAGCAAAGACTATGATTAGGACAGTACAGGCAAGCTTGATGTTAGGAAGTTGTGTTTTAAATTAGTAATTAACGGGCAGCATACGTTACACACTGAACGTATTTGTTAATCAGTTCTGCTTCAAGTCAGGCCGTTCTCTAAATGAATTAGCAAGGTTTATGATACTACACCATACAAACACACTTACACAAAAAGCATGCTGATGATTCATTTGGGAAACTAGGCTCCCACCCATCCAGTAGTTCATAAGCTCCCTGGAGTCAAGCACTGCCTTATTTTTGTCTTTGACTCTCCATGGCACAGTCTTGTTTGCTAAATCAAAATGAATTCTCCTGACTTTCCATAAAGTTAACTACTAAAACTTACTAGCATATTTTTCTTAGAACATCCTAACTCAATTTCAAAATCAATCAACGAATTGTTACTAAGGGTTCATTCAGAAGAACCTTTATACTTTTGATTTCCCAAGCACTGCTTAAAACCCAGGATTTAGGGCTGTGAAAAATGGCAGCAGAAAAGATTAAGGAAATGATGTCTATTTCAAGATCTGCCACCAGCTCACTATGCAACCTCAACTAGTTGACTTAAAACAATTTCCATGTCTACAAGGAGTTTGAAAAAAATTAAATTAACTCACACAAAAATATAAAAAGAAAGAAGTGCAAAGCCCTCCCAGTTGTTCCAATCCATACTGTGGCCCATTCAACAGCACTGCAGTTGGCTTGTTTCCATCTTTAGACTAATACTGGCAGACTACTGATATCCAGTGGAGAGCGCTCTGAATTTGGATTCCAAGGATCTAGGTTCTAATACTGTCTTTGCCATTAATTCTCAGGCAAGGCACTCACCTCTCTGGAACTATTTCCTCCTCCAGATAATGAGGAGTTTGGATAAGATGATATCCAAAGTTCTTTTCATTTCAACCCTATGATAACTGCCCAAACAAGTCAAAAAGGGTAGGTAGCATGTTATGGTAGAAACTGCACTGGGCTGACAGCCAGAAGTGTTTGGGCTTAAGTTCTCACCCTACCACTTATGAGTCATGTTATCTTAAACAACAAGTCTTCAGATTCAGCTTCTTCATCTATCAAATGGGAATACAAATATTTGCCCTCTCTACCTCACAGAGACTATTGAAAATTAAATGATAGGGGATGTAAAAATGCTTTAAAACTATAAAGCACTATTAAAAATATAAGGTGCTACCATTTGCCTATCTACACAGGCAAAACCTCTATGTCTTCATGTTTACTTAGCATCAATAAGAGGATCTGTGTTGTAGTTTTAAAAAACAAACAAACGAGCAGCCCTGTGTCAGGGGCCAGAAGACCCAGATTGGAATCTGGCTTCCACAATGACTAGCTGTGCAACTCTAAACAAGTCATAACCTCTCTGATTTTGTTTCTTCATCTGTAAAATACAGATAATAGTCTACCAACTTCACAGGGTTTTTAAAGTGCTATGTATATGAGGAATTATAAATAAAATTCAAATCCTGGGTAAGATAAGAAAAAAATAATATGATGTAGTCATTTCTCCTCATGTACTCATTACAGCAGGTTCAACTAATTTCACAGCTCATCTTGATATCTTAAACAAGTAGCTTTCAGATGTTCATTAACAGTAATGAATTTCCTTTTTTTAGCTAGTAACGACCACTCTTGACTTTCAGATAATAAAAACACAAGAAATAGCAACAAAAAGCTATTTTTCCTTTCTTGTTGTATACTTAAGGCCACTAACATAAAAAAAACTGCCAAGTTATTCTCATATGTCAGAGAAACTCAAAATCTGATCATCTTTACTCTTAAAAAAAAAATTAAAAGTGCTGAAAGTTAAAAAAAGGCCATCGTAGCTTGCCAAGAATACTCATCTATAGGTTCCTGGTTTGTGAGCATGGCCTAGAAGCTCAGGGGTGCAGTGGATAACATTGGGCCTGGAGTCAGGAAGACCTGAGTTCAAATTCAGCCTAAGACTCTTACTAGCTGTGTGGTGCTGGGCAAGTCACTTAACTTCCGCCTGCCTGAGCTTCCTCAAATGTAAAATGGGGACAATAATAGCATCTATTTCCCAAGGGTGTTGTGAAGATCAAATGAGATATCTGTGAGTACTGTGCATGGCACAGAATAGGCGAGGCACTTAATAAATGCCTGTTTCTTTCCTGCCTTCAAAAAGACTTGGATTCAAGTCTTGCCTCTAATACAAACTGGCCAAGTGACCCTTGACAAACCACTTAACACCAGCGCCCTAAGCTGCTCTAAGTTGCAGAGAAGGTACCAACCTGCATTGGGTGGAAGGCGTTTACTCGCCCTACACCAATGAAATCACAGGTTCAGTCTGTTGAGGAATGTTAAGGGGCCCTCTAAATTTGTCTTTTTGAGTTGCCATATTTTCTAGGAACACAGGCATGGAGTATGCAGGAGGTGCAGGTCCTGAATGTGTCAAGGACAAAGTACACCCCTGCCCCCATGATATAATTTGTTGTTTGTATCCCAAAGTGGACTCCCTATGTGTCAAGAAAGGTAGAGCCTGCACTACACTGGGAAATTACTTATACAGCTGGAACCCTTGTAGATAAGCAGACTGTGTATCTTCACAGTCCAGCAGTTTCCCAGCAGTGAAAAGAACATGGCTTTTTCCTTCACCTTGCTCCTCCCCCTCAGGAGGGGTTTGTCCTTTTCCCACCTTTACTCCCATGCCACACCCCTTTACGTGGAGATTTGTTTTCTCCTTCCTTTGCTCTGTTATAAATATGCAAACTTCTACATGGATTGTGAACTCTTTGGGTTCCACACAAATGTTCATTTCTCTTGTAATAAATCTAGTTTTCACATAAGTTTTGTGAAGTTGTGAGTCCCTATTGACAAGTCCCTACCCCTTAATCTTATGGAATGCTTCAGAGAACATAATTTTTCATAAGCAAATCCACTTTGGATTGAACAAAGAAGCTCCAGGGTTTTGTGGTGTTGACATTTCATCTACCTTCTGTAGTTCACATTAGCACATTTTGTTTTGTCCAGAATTATCAGAATAACTTCCTCAATTCTATTAATAGTTTAATGAAGGTTCTTAACACAATTCTTAAGACAGTAAGCTCACTATAGTGATGTTACTTTAAGAAAACCAAAGACATGAACTACGATCTAATGAAAAGAAAAGTAAAACACCTCCTTCTATAGGTGTGTAAATACCATCCTGGGGCCTCTCAGACCCTTATAGTCTAACTAAAGAAAAGGCAGTATTTTTCTTATTTGTATCTTCTCTGACTAGCTATTATTATAGCTGATGATACCCTGGCTGTTTTTACCAAAACCTCCCCGTGGAGGAGGATCCTCTCCATGATTTTAAAATATTAGTGTAAATTTGAGGGCATCAGGCTGCCAAATGAGTCAGAAGTTTCCAAATGAAAAATTTTCAATATGAAATGTTTTTTTCCTTCTAGCATAATGGTTTATTGTGGAACAGAATGCTAGGTACACATTGCCTAATCCAATTTTACTACCTGCAACAAGGTCAACATACAGGATGGTCTTCACTTGTTACTGGACAATGCTTTCCTAAATTAAAAAAGCGTGGTTTTGGCTAGTTTTTCCTCAGTGAGTTGCCTGTTCAGTCAAATCACCTTCCGGAATTATGGAGTTTGTGCCTATGTATCTGGGGAGAACAGAAAAACAAATTCCTTCTCTGGGTCTGAATTCCTTGACTTCCATACTTTTTCCTTCTCCTTTGGTTAGAGAAAAGAGTAGTTATTTGGCTAAGTAGTCAGGAATAAAACTGGATTTCAAAAGCTTGCACTTTCTGACTTGAATAGGTCCAGATCATTTACCAAAATAGATAGGTCTGTCTAGGGTGCTCTTGACACTGATATGGAGGATAGAGTAACAGGGAAAATTGTGGCACGTTATTCCTGGGAGGAGCGCTAACATTCTTCTCACATGAAGTGATCCTGTGCCATTCAAGAGATATTTGAGGTGCTCTTAAACCACACTCCTGGGGAACCTAAAGAAAGGTCCTGAACAGGAAGTTACATGCTCAGAGAGAAAAAGGCCAACCTCTATGCCAAGGAGTGGCAATCCCATTTTATGAAGGACACTGACAAAGTGGGGAGCATCCAGGAGGCAAATAGGCTTGTTGTAAAAGATCTTGGGTCCCTGGGAATGTTTAGCCTACAGGTTTTAAAGCTCAAGAGGACATGCTGGGCACCTAGATGACAGAGCAGATAAAGTACTGGTCCATTAGTCAGGAGCTGAGTTTAAATCCAGCCTCAGACACTTGACACTTACTAGCTGTGTGACCCTGGGCAAGTCACTTAACCCCACTGCCTTGCCAAAAAAAAAAAAAAAGGACATGTCATCTGTCTTTAAGCACTTGAAAGGCTGTTAAGTGGAAAAGGTAACAAATCTCTTCTGTTTGGCCCAAGAAATCAGAACCAGAAATAACAGGTGGAAATTACAAAGAAGCAAATTTAGGTTTGATGTCAGAGTTATGCGAAAGTAGAAAGGGCTGCCTTGGGAGGCTGTGGGTTTCTTGTCACTAATACACCTTTGAGTAAAGCTTGAGGGTAATATTTCCAATGCCTTGAAAAAGAGATTCTTTCTCAAATATGCACTGGACTCTAATCTCTGAGGTCTTTTTCCTTCCAACTGTGAAATCCTGTGATGTGCATGCAAGCACAAACTTCCCTCTTCCTGTTTCCCTGACCTGTGATGCCCGCCTCCTCCCCTCACCTCTTTTTCAGTCACTTGGGTCCCACTTGTTATCCAAGGTCTACCTGACTTCGTGTTTTTGAAGCTCTCCCTGGCCACAATATCCCAAAGTGGCCCTTCCTATCACTCACTGTTCCCACCATCCATTGATTGGTGGTCCAAAGCAAAGGTAGCACAGGCTACCACAGAATTTGCTTTCAACAAGTTGTCCTTATTTTATGGTTAAATTGTTCTTTCACCTTATCCCATACCTTGTTCCCTAAAGTTTTCTTCCTATGTTTGCACAACTCAAGTACTCCTTCATTCAACTTTAATTAGATAACAATGATGATAATAATAGCTAATATTTATATAGTACTTACTCTGGGCTAGGCATTGTGCCAAGTGTTTTACAATTATTATCTCATTTGATCCTCACAACAACCCCAGAGGGAGCTGCTATAATTATCACCCTCAGTTTACAGATGAGGAACCAAAGGCAAACACAGGCTAAGTGATTTATCCAGGGTCACACAGCTAGTTGAGTGTCTGAGGCAGACAGGTCTTCCCGACTTCAGGCTTGATGTTCTATCCACTGAGCTACCAGTTCAATTTCTTTGCTGTGGCCTTAATATGTGCCCACAACTGGTCACACTACAGGGCCTGATTCTCACCAGGTCATTCCTTGATGCTGAGTAGATGAGTTGTGTTGACTCACACATACAAAGCTAGATAAAAGCCAGCTCTTGCAATCACCCGTTAGGTAGCCTCACACAGGGCAGTAGGTCCCGAACCGGCCTGGCCTATTACTTGTTGATGAAGCTCTGATGACATCCATGCTGTTGGGTATTCCAGAGGTTGGGAAGTCTGTGACTCAGCAGTGTCTATATGACTAACATGAGCTGCTGTTCCTACTCTGTATCTTTCCACTGAATAAAGAACTTGATCTGACTAGTTAATGGAGAGGATTATGACCATGGCTCAATTCCAATACCTCAGAGAAATTTACCAGACTGGACACAGTGTTCAATGAACAGGTGTAAATAATCATTATAAAATAATCATTTAATGCTTAACCTGCAGAGTGGGTACAGATCTGAACTGGTTAAAGGAGTTTTCTCCTATCAGTGTAATCACAGGGCCGGTTGAAAATGTCTGAAATGTGAAGTCATCTTTGTCAAAAGTGCAGAAGGCTCTCCTAGACACTTAGAAACACTAAGATATCTCTCATGGGTTTAAGTCTCAACCTGCCTGACAAATATGTAATTTCACTTTAAAAGGAAAAAGTATCTGGTAAACTGAGTGGTGTAAATTAAACAACTGAAACAACTTGCTTGATATTAAGCAAGTAATGCTTGCATGTTGAAACATGCAACACACACTTAACAATTAGTTTCCAACAGGACAAAGTTCGCAGAACAGTTTGGCACTTACTGAAGGTTGAGCTATTTTCCATCTGTCATCCTGCAAAAAAAAAAAAAAAGAATTCAGCACCATTAGGATGAGAGTGGGGACTATAAAGCACTATTTCTAAAATGTTCAGTCTTTATTTTGACATCTTAACAACAATAACTTAGGTGTCTGACCAGATATGACCTGGCTTCACTAATTCAGCTTAACAGCAAAAATTATTTAAATGAGATTAAATGTTGGGGGAAAACTGTCTAATTACAGGTATACGACATAGAGTATAAATGTAGGTCAATGTAACAACCCATGAGAGAGATGCCTGGACCTCCTTCCCCCATTCTCTCCTACAATCTCAAGGAATCTTAAAAGGCTTGAATAGATCTTTCCCTCTCCTCCCAATCTCTTCCTCCAAGAAAGGAGCTAATCCTATTGTGACCATCAAGATGAATTCCTTACAGCCACCAAAAATGCTTAAACATTTCAGCTTATCCAAAGTGCCTGCTCTATTGTTGGCACCACTTCTGCTAGTCTTTAATTTGCCCAATTTCCACCATTTTTAACTCTACCTTTAATCCTCCCCCTTTCAAGTCCTCTCAATTCTACTTCCCTGATTTCTTTCTCTCAGAATCATCTTCTAATTTCTATTACCAGTGCCATTACTCAAATTTATGTCCTTATTTTCTCTCTAGTGGACTGCTGTAATAACCTTCTAACTAGTCCCCCTAGATCTAATCTCAGCCACCTCCAAGACATCCCATCCTGAATACTGTTGCTAGTTGGCCTGATGCTGAAGAAGTTCTTATTACTACTGTCTAGAAGGTGACAAAGCAGAGGAATTCCTGATTCTGTTAGAAGGTGGGGAGAGGAGTTTTTGTGATATAGCAGTTTGGAAGTCTGACTGTTTTCCCAAAGAAACACCATTGTACATGGTAGGTAGGTAGGTAGGTTCTAATGTGCTACTGGCATAGGTACATTATGTATTAAATGGTTTTGTTTGTTTTTAATGGGATAGCCTTATAACCTAGTCATCATGCAAATTATTTCTCCTTTAGGAAAATGCATGATTGATTCCAAACAATCAAATTATACAGAATTTTGGATCAAAACAATTTCCTAAGTTAGGAATACTCTATAAATACAGATCAATGGTCTGTCAGCTCTCCAATGAGTAAAGTGGTTAAGTGGTAATTAATACATGACTTCTGTAATACTTATTTTCCTAATGTGGCCACATCTGCGGTCATGCCAGACTTCAGCAAGCACCTGCTGCTGAGCAGACCGTGCTAGCCTCAAATTTTCCAAAGTGTGACCAGTAAAATACAAAAACAAGCACAGGACATTATTTCCTGAGGGGGGTGGAAGGAATGTGAGGGGTAATACAGGGAACCTATATCTTACAAAGCCAATTATTTTGTCTCCTCTTTTTTGCGGGGAGGGACACTTGCTGTTTATATATGTAACCCATGGGACAGACGATGTGGTCTAACATCAAATGTTAGCCTTGAGAAGAACTAGGACATGAGGCTTTTTAGGATATACTCACTGGATGAAGTTCTCCAATGATAAATGTCTTGGATAATTCTTGCGCATCTGTAGAATGCCCAACATCCTCAAAGTTTTCAGTTGCATCCCCTCCAGCTTGCTCCCTCAGAACTTCTTCTCCACCTGGATGCTATTTAAAGGGAGAAAAAAAGGCATCATTATAGGGAAATATGAACACTAATTAGGATTTGTAATATACAATATTCCAGAAGTTATTATTCATTTAAGAACCGATTCAAGAGATGAAGATTAGAAAAAGGTAACTCACATTAAAATCAATCTTTTAAAAATTTTGTGGTCAATTCTTTTCTTAAGGACTAAATATTTAAGTCTGTGCTTTTTCCACTAATCAAAAATACTGATTTCTCTCATGAATTATCGTCTTTACTCTTAGGTATCTTAATAAGAAACACTGACTAAGCACCCACCAAATCCCCAGGCACAGGGATACAATGGATCAATCAGCACACATTATGCATCTACTATATGCTAGGCATTGTGCTAGTATCTGGGGATATGAAAAAGAGAAATCAAAGCTTCTCCCCTCAAGGAGTTTAATTAGCAAACTACATTAACAAGCTATATTATATACATATAAATACATGAAAAATTAATACAAGGCAATTTTAGGAGTGAGGGAGGTACCAACAATAGAGGGTTCAAGTAGAGAGTAAAGATAAAAAAATTATCCAAAGCATCACACACATGTCATTGTATGCCTATCCATAAAATCAGACCATTTCCTGGCCTGTTGAAGTCTGAGCCCTAGTTGTATAACTCAGGGGTGACCTTGTCAAACCTTCTTCTCAGTGCAGGATTCTCTTTTATAACATTCATGAGGAATGGTCACCCAATCAAGCCTCTACTTAAACATTTTCTTTCAGTGGCTAGGAGCCCAATTTTCCACAAAAATGCCACCAAGTACTTATATTTCCGTAGTTCTTTTAGGATTGCCAAGTCCCTTCCCTACAAAGTGCTCTGAAGTGGTACTACAAAACAAACTGAACAAAGCCTGTGCCCTGGTCTACTGCCATCTTTGCCAACCTCAATCAGTCTTTGAGATTCTCACCTCCCCTTACAAATAAAAAAAAATAGCATTTATGAAGTGCTGTACTTTGTTCCAGGCAGTGGGACACAAAGTCAAAAATCAATCAGTCCCTACTGTTAGAGTTAGATGGGCTTACGTTTCCACAGGTAGAACAGTGCAGAGAATTTTATAAAAACAAGTCAAGAAAGCAGTTACACTGCAGGTGGGCCTGGGCTTAGCCCAAAGCTAATGGTTCCAAGAAGACCCCAAAACCAAAATGAAAGTGAACCTCAGGGATAGTAACTTCTCCACCTAGGGTGGGGATGGGGGGCAATAGCGCAATTGTCAGCACAATAGGGCAGGAACAGGGGGCATTCCAGAACAAATGTAACCTGGAAGGAACGGACCAATCCAGGCCTGGGAGGTTTCGCACCGAATTTAACTGCATAAAAGCACACTTGCCCTTGCACTCAGGGCCCACCCTTCCTGAAAAGAGGTGGAGCCCACTTCTGGCCAGAAATGTCTAAATCCTCTGGACTGTCTGTAATAAACTCTCTTGATACTACATTTTTGGTGTCAAGCATATTTCTAACACTACCCTCAAGGAACTTACAATCTATAGTGGAAGAAAACATGGAAAATTGTAGTGAAAACACTTCATTCTCCTTAGTTGCTATGTGACTCCTTGTCACTGTTCCTTCATGAGACAACGTGTAAAACTGTCTCATTAAAGAATGACAAGGAAACACACAAAACAGCAACTGGTAGTAGAGGTAAAGATTCACGATCAAAATTTCCTCTCCTCAGCAGAACTTACTAATATTAAATTCCCAAGACAGTATTAAAGTTTTGAGTTTATTCTGCTATGCTTGCTGCCTGCTCAAAATATCATTGAGAAATAGAGGGGAAAAAGTAAATTTTCCTCCTTTTGACACCATGCTTCAGTTCCTTAGCCTACACACACACCTTTCTTACCTGGTTTTTGTTTGTTTTTGCACTTAAAAAAAACTGACAGCAGGATAATGAAAAAAAAATACATTTTTGAATAGCATCAGTTTGGGGGTAGAGATTCAGTGGTCTAATTCTAGGTTCTAACAACCCTGTTCTAAGATGAGGATTATCTTGATTCTTCATATGAATGAGTTCCATTTCTCACTATGACCTTGGGACAAGAAGAAACAAGATGGATTAAACAGACAATGAACAAAGTTGGGTCCAGTCTCAAAAAGCTTAAGATCAAAGACAGACAAACATCTATGGACAAAAATTATTTACATCCCAGTAGGAACAAAAAAGAGATTTTAAGGGAAAAGAGAAAAAGTGAGGCAAAAAGAACACCAGGATCAGAAACTTTGTGGCAGGTTTCTTGGAAAGGAGGACATTTTCAGATGGGAGTGGGCCAATTTGGCTGGGAAGATATGTGAATGAGAGAGAAAGGTACTGCCAAGTACCTTGACCTCGACCTAACTGATGTTACAATGAGGAACAGTAGTGCTTTGAGGTAAAGTGTGATGTGCCCAAGTAAACAATTTTTATCGGTCCAGCAACTCCCAAGGAGATATACAGGTTGCAAAATAATTTGTGATTATCTCTCTTCCTCTTGCAGAATAAAAACTCTAATGCTTTCATTTTATATCCCAGAAACTATGGCTACTATTGCCTAATAATAAACATTATTTCTTCATGCCTATTCGAAAAAGCTAAGATTTTCTTTCAGGTAGGAAAAAGGTCTGGTTTTTATTGAGGACTGTTTAACAACCAAACAACAACAACCAAATGCCCACTCATTTACTACCTTTACCAAAGGAAGTTAAAAAGCAATACATTAATCAAAACCCTTGTCATTTCATATACATGCAAAGAAAAAAAATTACTAGAGTTAGTACATCTAAGAGACACCATACAATTGTGGAAAGAGTGCAGCGCTGAAAAGTCAGGGAAGCTGGCTTATAGGGCCAGCTCTTCACTAACTAGTCCTAGATGTGGGGCCTTGGGCAAGCATCAGCCTTCTACAGGCCTTAAGTACTTACATCTATAAAATGATTAACCACGAACTGTGATCACACCAACAATCTACTACTAATGGCCCAATGTATCATCCCTATAATTTGCTCAATGGGAGAGAATTAACTTAAGAGAAGAAAAGGTAACAAATAATTTCCATAGGGAGAATGTTAGGGAGTTAAGGGTCAAAGCCCTTAAAGAGGTCAAAAAGGCTGCTGAGAAGGAGTGAAAGTTGATTTGAATTTGGTTACAAAAAAACTGCAATGAATCAAGTCATTTTGCTTGTGTGTACCCTGGTCCAGTTGGCGATGGGTCAAGTCAGTTCACCTGTACCCTGTCTGACTGCACCCACCACCCTGAGAGCAAAAGCACAACAAGGGGTGGACCAGGGTTGGGTCAAGGTAACAACAAGTCAACAAACATTTAGTAAGCACTTGCCATATAATGAATTTTTAACTCTGCTTACAAAAATGGTTGGGTTTTGTTAGCCTGTTTTTTGCAATGCTAGATATTCAAGCAGCAGGCTGAAATAGAACCTTTAACAATATATACTCAATGGACCTGTAGTCATGTTAAGTTGGATTTAGTTAGAAATGGTCTACGGTATTTGCTTTCTTTAGTTGTTCCACTGAGGCTGGAACTTTGAACTAGCAGGTATTAAAATAGTGTAATGTGTATTATAGGCAAGGTGCTAACATGAGGAATACAAACAGAAGCAAAGAGAAAGTCCCTCTCCTCAAGGAGTTCACATTCCAATGGGGAAAGGCGAGCCTGCCTGCACATGTGCGCGCACACACACACACACACACACACACACACACACACACACACACACACACACACAGTGTTATCAGGAAAAAAGGGTGGAAGGCAGTAAGTAGAAAAAAGGTGGAGAAAGAAGTCCTGAATCAGAAACAGCCTGGAGAGGGATGAAGGAGTAAACACAGCTGCCCTGGGCCCTTCCTTAATTGAAGGCTAAGAAGGCTAAAGGAACCTAGAACACAGGAGAGAAAAGGACTAAGAAGTTTACTATAAAGTCTTAGAGGAGAAGGGAGATATAGCTAGAGGTTTCCTAAGGTGACTGAGTGACATGAATAAATGAGGATAGAGAACAGATCTGATAGGTATATTGGAAGAGGGATCTCAGGAACATCATTTAAATGGGTATTTCAGGGACTAATAAAATAAATGGAAAACGTGGTTAAGACAGACTGGAGAAGAGATTGTTTTAGGGGGATAAAACTATTTTTTTGAAAGAATTTCTTCTCTCTTTGAAACACCTAGTAGTACACTTGACACTAGCTGTGACCCTGGGCAAGTCACTTAACCCCAATTGCCTAAAAATTTAAAAAAATTTTTATAAAACACTTAGTAGTAAGAAAAGAACAGAGAAGGAAAATATTCCCAGCCTCATATTTTTTTTTAAGAGCTGAAAGGAACCTTAAGTAGTGGAGCTTAACCCCCATAATTTTACAAATACCAAAACCTGAGGACCCAGGGAGGTTAAGTGATTTGTCCTAGAGTATACAGTAGGCTAGTCACACAATCCAAGTTTCCTGACAATGAGTCCAAGGCTTTTGAAATTTTGAGCAAATGAAATTATATAGAATATATTTTTTATATGCATGAAGGGACCTTTCATCTGAAAAGCATGCTAAAAATTTACTTCCACTTTTCACCTCCCACCTGTTGTTTTTAAAGTGCCTTTCCCCCTCCATATCTTCAAATTATCCAGAAATTTGAGATTTCTCTCCATGCCCTCCAGAAGCTCACTGAGTAATTACTTGACTTGAAGCAGGCACTCATAAAAAGAAACATGACAGCCTCTATATCTGTGTTTCCAGGTTATAAATGGTTGGGCAGGACAGAATCACCTGGAACACACCATATTGTTTTAAACTAGTTCAAAGTTCCAGTCTCTTTAAATAAAACGGCTAAAGAAAACAAATATATCATTTCCACCTCAATCCAACTTAACAGGAACCAGAGGTCCACTAAGTGTATATTTTTGAAAAGGTGTTCTTCCATCATTCAGCCTGAACACCTAGCACTGCAAAATAAACAAAAAACAACCATTTCTCTAAGTGGAAAAGAGTTAC